AACCTATCTCTGATACCTCAGAGGCACTACCACATAAGTACTGAGCTGCATACCTCTGTACTTCTTTGACATTTGAGAATGTCTTTGTGTATTTAAGATACTTTTACTTGTGCAGCCGAACCCACTGAAACAACATTTCTATTCAGAAAGGTACTAGAGTCTCTAACTGGGCTAAAGGCAACTAATCATGTAAGAGCTTTTAAGAAACAAAACTTTATTCACATCTAAATAGAAAACTCCAAATAATCTTATAGACAATTATTAAGAATTAAGAGTTTAACAGGATGGACTTTTTTTTTGTGAGACTTGCAATAGGGTGCATATGCTCAGTGGAGAGATAGAAAGCAAGAAATCACCCCCCCGAGGGGATGGCCACACCACAATCCATTACCCTCCATTCTCGTGATTTGGGGTATGCATGCACACATGCCTGGCATGAGTTTCAAGCTGCCATCCCCAGGACTCAAACCTTGGTCAGCCATGTGGGAGTCCAGCGATGTAATCATTATGCCATCTGCTGGTACCAGGATGAACTTTTTACATAGCAGCCACAATAAATTAAAATCTTTAATTTCAAAAAAGATACCATGTATAATAGCAACAAAAACAAGGTACCTAGGAATGAATTAATCTAAAAGTAAATTTTAAAAAATTGTGAAATTTTCCTTTGGAAAGATTTTAAGAGGACCAACTAGCTCAAGGATTATGAGTTGCCATTATGTTATCTCTCCAAAAATGGATCCGAGGACTCAGTGGGATTTTAATCAAACACTCAACACAGTTTTTCATGGAACGTGACAAGCTAAATTCAGAATGGCAAAAGGAAAAGAATAACCAAGACATTCCTGAAGAACATAGGCCTAGACATAAAAAGCAGTTGTAAGGCTACACTACTGAAGAAAATCAGTAGTGTTGCAGGGATTGAAAACAAGATTAAGAGAGCAGAATCAAGTAACCAGCAATAGGCTCCACACACATTTGAAAACATAAGGTGACACTGAGGATCAGTTGCAAAAAAGTCTTAAGTAGTCAACAAATGATCCTAGGACAAGTGCAATGAAAACAAAACACAGAAATTGGATACCATTCTGACAAAATACATTAAAAACTCAATTCTAGGGCCAGCATGTGGCATGATAGTAAGGAGCTAGATCCACATGGCCTACTCTATGGTTCAAGTCCCAGAACCAGCAGATTGGAAAACATATTAACATGTGTGCATGCATGCCCAAAATCCTGAGGAGAAGGTATTGAGGCACGACCATCATCCCTGAGAGGTGATGGGTAATTTTTCACTTTCCATCTTTCTCTGGCAAGTACATGTGCCTTATGGCAAAAATTAATAAATAATAATAATAATGGAATATTAAATATGAGAGGCAAAACTATTATTGAAAACTCAATAAGAATATAGAACAACTTTAAGAGCTTAATATTCAACAAAACACTCTTCAGTGAGTACTTTTTGTTTGTTAGTTTTTTTTACTTTATCCACTATCTGAAACTTTAAAAAACCTTTTAACTATAGGGGCCAGCAGTTGTTGTTAAGGTGCTAGACTCCCTTTTTTGACAGCTTGCTTTCTCATTTTCCCTCTCTGTCTCTCTCTGATGAGCACATGTGCCCTATAGCAAATAATAATAATGATAATAATAAAATTAAAATAAATCTTGCCCCAATATCCTTTTAACTATATTAAAAGAGCTCTTTCTAATTTTTTTTTTAAAAAAAAAAAAAGAAAGAGAGGAAGGAAATGGAAAGATGGATCAAAAACTGAGAAAACTGGGAACCAGTAGTTACTGTAATTGCTATGTCGCTGGACTCCCATGTTGTCGACCGCGGTTCGCATCCCGGACCCGGTGACTTAAAACTCACGACGGGCGCGTGTGCGTGCGTGCCCAAGATCCCGAGAGGAGAATGGAGGAGAAGGGATTGCAGCGTGAACATCCCCCTGGGGGGTGATTTCTCACTTTCTGTCTCTCTCTGTCTGTCTGGCAAGGGCACGCACCCTATAGTGAAAACCTCTCAAAAAAAAAAAACTGAGAAAACTTTGTATTATTATTATTATCTACACTAATATAAAAAGCTCTCAAATATCAGTAAAAGAAAAATAAGCATAAAAAAAGTAAACACAAGTGGACAATAAATATTTGAAAAGATGCTTAACCTTATAAGTAATGAGCAAATGAAAACTAAAGACCACAACATGAAACTATTTCATATCCACCATATTGACAGAGAGAGGAGGACTGTTAAGTTGCCAAAAATGTGGATCAAATGAAACTTTCCTATACTCCTAAGAAAAAGATAAACTGGAGCCAACATTAGAGGAAATTAATTGATTTTATTAGTAAAGCTGAAGATCCACACCCTATGTTCCAGTAATCCTACTGATATATACATTTCCACAAGTGCACCTGGAAACAGGTACAAAAATATTCACAGCAGTACTGCATGCAATAGAAAAGAACTGCAAACAACTAAAATGTCAGTCAATAATAGAGTGAAATACCCAAGTGCAAGAATGAACTCCACCTCCATTACTCAACACAAACTTATCTCAAAAACAAGCAAAACAAGTCAAAAGATATGTAAGATTCCTTTTATACAAAGGTCAAATATTGGCAAAACTAAACAACATGTCATTTAGAAATGTCTCCATGTATGATAAAGCTAAATAGAAAAACTTAGGTAGTTTAATGCAAATTTTAAGATAGCTTTTACTTCTGGCTGGTAGGAAGGAGGACCTAAAAGAGGAAATGCGGGGCCGGCAGGTGGCATGGTGGTTAAAGGTGCTGGATTCCCACATGGCTGAACCTGGTTTGAGTCCTAGACCTGGCAGCTCGTGCTCTCTCTCTCTCTCTCTCTCTCTCTTACTCTCACTTTGTCCCTCTCTGGTCAAATTAGAATAAATGCAAACTAACTGTTAAAGTTCTACTTCTAAGTGAATGAGAGGCCCACATGGGGCCTGTTGAAATGATACATATCAGCTATATGTATAACATAGCTGATTGTTGGAAAAGTCATGACGTGTTTTTTTATGCAAAAATGCATCATGACTTCTCCAACAACTCAATACATAGTTATAATTTTCGTTTTTTTAAATTATTTATTTAACTTTATTCATTCATTCATTTTTATTTTGACCAGAGAGACACAAACAAAGAGAGAGAGAGAGAAGGTGAGAAAGCAAGCCACCAGGTCCAGAATTTGAACCGTGGTCAGTCATGTGTGAGCATCCAGCGCCTTAACCACCATGCCATCCACTGGTCCCTACAGCTATAATTTTCTCAGCACATTATATATACATAATAAACAATAAGGGATTTAAAAGCTATCCAAAAAAACTTCTATTTCCTCATCTATCTTTTTTTTTTTTAAATATGCCTTTGCTTAAAAGCAAGTTTTAACTGTAATAAAAGGGAATTAGCATCTGGTACGTTAAGGGCTGCTTTTTTCAAAAAAAAAAATTGTTATTACATTAAAGACATTCCAGCAGGTGGTATGGTGGTTAAGGCACTGGACTCTCACATAATCAGCCTCGGTTTGAGTCCCAGACCTGGCAACTTGCTTTCTCACTTTCTTACCCTCTGCCTCTCTCCGGTGAACACACGTGTCCTATAGAAAATTAAAAATAATAACAACAATAAATAAAATTAAATAATTCTTTTTAAAAAGTCACGTGTATTCTACAGTTAAAAAAAAAAAAAAGCATATCAACTGTCTTTCCAAAGCAATGGCTAAAGTGTAAAAGACCCTAAGGCTTTATGCAGAAATAAAGATTGTACCAAATTGTACCAGTACAATCACTTGTTTTATATACCGGCACGTACCCCACATCTCTTTAATGAAATCCTTTAAACATTTCTTAGTGACAGCAAAATGAAACAAACATATTAAGTGCTAAATAAACACTGAGGGTGGTTAACTATCATTTAATGACTTTACATCAGATCACAACATTGGAGACTCCAGCTAGCTACCTGAATTTGAATGATAATTGTGGCTGTGAGTACAGCCTCAGTTTCCACAAAATTATAAGCCCTATCAAATTGTTTTCCAATTTTCAAATCACCATTTAAAGGTAACTATGTGCCCTCATTCTGGAATATCACTGGCTAGACAGGTACCAAATCGCGGTAAAGCCTCAAGAAGCAACAGTCACCAGCTTCAAGCCACAAGATGAGCAAAGACAGTTGTGAGAATTCCCCCCAAATCTTGTAATAGGCTATCTCCCAGACCTCCACATCTCCCTTCGGAGTCCTGTGGAGAAGCAAACGTGGTAAACACTCCTGGGAGGTAAAAAGAGCCCGTTAATCATATGGCCAATAGAGTCTGCTGAGACTCTTAACAAAATTGTAACTCGGCAAATTGTTCGCTCTAACCCCCTCGTTTTTCATATCGGGAAAGTTTAAGTCTCCGGCAGAGACAGGGGCACTTTCTCGGAACCTAAGAGCGATTTAAGCTTGTTTGCTCTGGTCCTGCCCAGCGGTCCCTTCCCTCCCATCCCCATATGCTTCTATTTGCTGCTAGCACGGAGTCAGTGAGAGGACCTGAACCTCCTCAGAGTGGCCAGACTGGCAGGACTGAAAAAGGCCTACGAAGTAATCGGATCAACCTCTCTTCTTCAAGGTGCGAAACTGAAGCAATAAAGTGACGCGGCTTGGCGGGTAAATCAACCCTCTGCCACCGAGCACCAAGAGCCTGAAGAACACGAGGAAGATCACTGACGACCCTGATTCCCGTCTCCAGGAGGACGGGTGTCAAGAAAAATTATTTATAAATAAATAAATAAAACGAATCCCAGATTTCATTCAGCAAAAATCCCGCGCCTCCCACAAAGAACTGGGAAGAAGAGAAGTGGGGTTATAGCAACAGCTGGTGCGCAGCACCTAAAACGACACGACCATAGTGGCGCCCAGCTCCCGACTTGCTCTTTGACTCAGTACGCGGTGAAAAGAGGAAACAGTGAGGTTGCGGCGCCTCCCCCGAGAACAGGTACCTGAGGCTAACGCCGCAGTCCCCCGCCGCCCTGGCACCGGAGCCGGACACCCCACTTCCGGGGTCAAGTGACCGCGGGGAGACCCGAGATCGTGGGAGGGGAGCCTCAGGCCCCGCCCCCTTCAGTCCCGCCTCCACTGTCTATTTCGCCTGGGACCTGGACAACTTCCGCAACGCCGCGCGTCACTTAGCATAGTATCCCCACTTCCGGATGCATCCCTCCGCCTTTTCTATCGCTTTCAGGGCTGGTGAGGGTTTCCGCTCATATGATTGGCCAGGCTGGCACGCTAGTCTTCGCTGATTGGTGCTAGAGAAATTGCCCCATAAATCCTTGCGGCGCGCTTAGTTTCAGTAGACTGTCTCTCCCGCCATCTGCGGGTGTTGTAGAGTGATCATGGCGGACGTCATGGAGCTGCCCAGATCTCGCGTCAACGCTAGTATGCTAGCACAGTTCATCGACCGGCCCGTCTGCTTCGTGGGGAGGCTGGAAAAGGTGCGCTGGCTAGACGTCCTGGGCTCCCGGTTCGTAGCCGGGAAAAGGGAGTCAGTGACCACCATGGTGGCACACTCAGTGGGTAACGGACTAGGTGGGTAACGGAGGGCTAAGGAGGACCGAGAGCCTCAGAACATCATTGCGCTTGTTTTTTTGTTTTGTTTTGTTTTAATTTTGTACAAGAAAACTTTTTATAGACATTTATTCATTGCAGCCTCAACCGAGAGCTTCAGAACATCATTGCGCTTGTTTTTTGTTTTGTTTTGTTTTAATTTTGTACAAGAAAACTTTTTATAGACATTTATTCATTGCAGCCTCATTTGGACTCCTCTTTAATGGCGTGAAGTAGAGGTGTTTCAGACGCACGTTCCTAATTCCAGCGCCGCTGCACTGTTCTAAATTTACGGGAAGTTAGTTATAAACATGACCTTAGGAATTTTTAATCCAGACATGACTGACGCCAACTAGGCGAGTCTGCTTGTTTCCTTCTTTTCCACACTTGTGTGTGTTCCCAAGCTTCATTTTCTCGTTGAAGTCTCCTCTCCATAAAACATTCGTTGATTGTCCCTTCCACATCCCACAGCAGCATTTTTTGTTGCCCTAGTGGTAAAGCGCAGCCCTTCATCGTTCAGATGAAAACAGGCCCAAAGGCTTCTAATCAGTGACCTGTAAAAGCTGAGGGAAAGAAAATTATTAAGGTTTATTTAGCAGCTCATTTCATCCACACACCTCTTAGTGAAATAGGTATTCTGACTAAACAGGAAAACAGTAGAAAGTGGTTGGTAGTTAACTAAAATGTGCAGGGCCTCAGCGAGTAGCAAACCCGCCTTTCAAACATCTCATGGTCCTCTGCAGCTGCCTTCCGGATGTAGAATCCAGATGTTCACTTTTTTCTTCATCATGCCTCTTTTTTTTTTTTTTGAAAATTGTCTATTGATGACAATGTTTATGGAAGTTTCTTTGACTGGACTAACATACAGAGTATTCATGCTGAGAAATTTTATTTTCAATGTTGTAAAGATAAACAGTGGTTGAATGTGAAAAGTTAGAAAACGTAAAATAAAGCATATTATTCTGAAGTGTTCATGTTTGAGAGAGCTCTGTAATGACCAGAAAAATAGTGCCAATTTTAGTACTAAAAGTTAGGATTATGTGAACAATGAGGTTGACTCTACACAGCTTTGAGCTAGGGCATCACTATCCAACATCACTGGCATGTTAGAATGCCAGGTAAAACTGACACTGAAAAATGGTTCTAAAATATAGAAAGTTTCCAACAGTCACATCTGGTCACTGTCTTCTGTAGTCATGGGTATAAAACCCCTAAGAATGCCACCGTTTCTTAATTTACAATGTAAATATTATCCTCAATAATGTAGACATTGTCTTCTGCTCAGACTTGCTCTTCTGTGCTTTTCAAAGTTCCAATGTGAGGGTTTTGAATGCAACCAATCTTACTTGATGTGTCTTGGTTTTGATATAATAATACCTTTTGATAATTATCAAAATCACAAAGGTGAGGAACATCACAGCAAAATTAGAGATTCCAATATAGAGGCCAGTAGCAGTAGTCATCCATGACCTGGGGATGCTTGGGTTTGATTGTTATGCCAGGAATTGAAGACTGTCTTGGTGCCATTGCCATCTGTTGTGCAACAGTACAATGGTGAACTGGTGGATTGTGTCCTTTTTTCCTGCAGTGTTGTAGATTGGGTTCTTGCTGTTGAAAAAGTTGAAGTAGGTACTGATTCATGTTTTTTGTGTGTGGGTGGGTGCTAGTGTTGGAGGAGCACATGTAGAAACCCTTGGAGATGTTGGTTCCAACACTTGTGGCCCTGATGGTGTGAAAGAAAGTACAGCATCTGTCAGAAGTAGTATGAGACTTAGGATGACTACCCAAGGATACATTATGGTGCTGGCCTTTAATTCCATTTCTCCATGAATTTTTAATGTCCCAACGTACATACTGCCTAGTCAGGTGTAGTTTTCCAGCTTTTCCTTCTGGTCTGTTTCCTTTTTTTTTGAGAGATTTTTGTTATAGGGCTCTTGTGCTCACCAGAGAGACAGACAGAAAGCAATAAACCCCCTTGGGAGGATGACCAAACTACAATTCCTTCATTTTCCAGATTTGGGCATACTCACAAATGTGCCCAGCCTGAGTTCAGGCCGCTGTTGGGGACCATCATTCCTCATTTTTAAAACCTACCCTCTGTGAAACATGAATTACAAACCCTAAGTGCAAACAGATCTCACTTTTAGATGTATAGGCCCCCTTTAATTTATTCTTAGCATAGGGTTTCCAGATTTAGCAAATAAAATCACAGGACCTACTTATGTTTAAAAAGTATTCATTATTTATCTGTAATTCAAAATTAACTGGTTGTCCCATGACCAGATCTGAGAATAAAATTGTAATTAGAGCCAAATAAATTAAAAACAGTTGTATTGTGTTTGACTAGGTAAATAAAGGTCAATCTACTTATCTTTTGTCCAACTTTTTTAGTGATATTGTAAAAGTTGTTTATGTGAGGTTTTTTTTTTTTCTTTTTTAGATTCATCCCACTGGAAAAATGTTTATTCTTTCAGATGGAGAAGGAAAAAATGGAACCATTGAGTTGATGGAACCTGTATGTTGAAGTATTAATTCTGTTTATTACAGTTAATTCTTTAGTTTGGTTTAGTTTTTGCTGATGTTTCTGATTTTTGAAGTAGATGTATAAAGATAAGCTTGTGTAACTTCCCTGGTTTAAAATTAAATTCTTGTCATCTTTTCATTGTATTTTCCTTTATATTTCTAACCAGTGATTCTTTGGGCTCCATGATTTTTGTATATTTCCCTTAAATTCTGGATAACAATTCTTATTTTTTATGAAAGACTATAAAATCAGACAAAAATCTTTCAGTTAAGTCACTTTTCACTTTTTTCCTTTCTCAGGAGTTTTATTTCATTTTATTTTCTGTTCTTGTTTACATATATTTTCACTTGTTACTTCTTTCTGCATTTTATATTTAACATGCGTAAAAACATTTTCTTGTTCTTATGCTATTTGGTTAATGTATACAGAACACACTTCATGAAATATATCAATAGATTATGAAAGGTTTTTCTCATGGGTCCTTTTAAATTAATTACTGCTTATAGGAATGCTGGACATTCTCAGTATCTTTAAGTGATTTTTGCCTTCAACTTATTTTTGGACCTATTACTAAAGGTAACAAGACTGTGACATACAGTTAAGTACTCATTTTTTTAAAAAATTACAGTTCAGGGCCAGCAGGTGGCATGGTGGTTAAAGTGCTAGACACCCACATGGCCAACCATGGTTCGCGTCCTGGACCTGGCAGCTTGCTTTTTCATTTTCCTTCTTTCTCGCTGTTGCTCTGTAGTCAAATTTTTAAAAAATAATGATGATGAATAAAATTATATAAAATAATTATTTAAAAAAAGGAATTACAGTTCCATTTTGCATAGGTAAGTTTTAGAATTACTTTGTTACACAAAATGAAAATATGTAAGTCATATAACAGTTTTAAAAATTAATAATCAACGGAAAATGTGATTGCATCAAGTTGTCATTTTGTTTTGTCTTAGCTTAATGAAGAAATTTCTGGTATTATAGAAGTAATTGGAAGAGTAACAGCCAAGGCAACCATCATGTGTACATCTTATATCCAGTTTAAAGAAGATAGCAGTCCTTTTGGTAAATAGATCATTCTAGTATTTAGTGGTTTTATACAATTAGGAGGAAATAGATTAAAATAATTTAGAAAATGATATTACAAATTTCCACTGTCAATTAAATATTTGCTTAAATGTGTCTTTCAGATCTTGGACTTTACAATGAAGCTGTGAAAATTACCCATGAGTTCCCCCAGTTTTTTCCTTTAGGTATTCTGCAACATGATTGATCTAGATGAATTTACTTACATTTGCAAATAAGCTACGTTGGAGACTGTCTTAAAGGAGGCCTCTTTGAGAGAGAATCCTGTGGTTTCTTAAAGTTTAATTTGTTCTTTTTTAAATTTCATTTACCTAATTGTAGTTTTCCTAATTTGCAGCTTTTGATGGAACTAGTATATTGATAATTCTCACCTAAGTTCTTTTATAAAGAATTTCTTTTACAGGATATAGTCAGAGTAGTTACAAGAACAAAGCCATTGTCTGAGTTTAGGTTTCTGTTTTATTAATAAAAATTTAAATCATACATACTAGTCATCATATGATTTTTATTCTTTTGGTCATATATTCAAACACGAACTTGGCATTTCACAGCTGTGAGGTCCCAGCTTAAAGATTACTCACCACTTTGCAGATTATACCAGATTAATTACTTCCTTGATACTGTACTTAAAAAGTGATTTGGGGGAGCAGCAGTTGGCGAATGGCTATGTCGCTGGACTCCCATGTAGTTGACCACAGTTTGAGACCTGGTGGCTTAAACTCACACTGGGCATGTGTGCGTGCATGCGTGCCCAAGATCCCAAGAGGAGAATGGAGGAGAAGGGATTGCAGTGTGGCCATCGCCCCTGGGGGGTGGTTTCTCGCTTTCTCTCTGTCTCCCTTTCTGGTGTGCGTACATGCCCTATAGCAGAAACCTCCAGAAAAAAAATAAAAGTGATCTTGACCAATTAAAAGAGCAAACAGAACCCTGCATGTTCTGTATTTTGTGAAATATCTTTCTGGATTTTAAAATGGAACATTTACTAATGCCAAGTAAGGAATGCACAACTGTTAAAACAGTTGTGGGGGACCAACTCTGTAGCCTACTGATTAAAGGAGCTGGGTCCCACATGGCTGACTGTGATTCAGATCTCAGCCCTGATGGCTTGAAAACCCTGCCAGGTGTGTGTGCCTAAAATCCTGTTAGGGTGAAAAGATGGAGGCAAAGGGATTCCACATGACCACAACCCATTGGAGGGTGCTTTCTCTTCTATTTTTTGACAGGTACACTCACTGTCTAGCAATTTAAAAAAAGAAAGTAAGTTGGTGGAATCATTTGAATATTTTCCTCACCATTTCTATTGTTATTCTTAGTATAGAATTCCTGTCAACCATTGGGGACCAGCAGATGGCATAATGACTATGTCGCTGGACTCCCATGTAGTCAACCATGGTTCGAGCCCTGGACCCAGTGGCTTAAACTCATGCTGGGCACGTGTGCGTGCGTGCCCAAGATCCCGAGAGGAGAATGGAGGAGAAGGGATTGCAGCATGGCCATCCCCCCCTGGGGAGTGTTTTCTCACTTTCTGTCTCTCTCTCTCTGTCTTTCTGGCAAGCGCACATGCCCTATAGCAAAAACCTCTCTCAAAAAAAAAAAAGAATTCCTGTCAACCATGAAGTAATTTTAGGAGTGCACAGGGAGGAATGTGGCATGGACAGGGGTAGGGTGAAGAGAAACTTTGATGATTTGTATGGCTAGCTAGGTTTTATGGCTTGATCAACCATTCTCTTCACTCAGAAAATAATTCTAAATTCACTTAGATTACCAGAAATTTTTATTTTAAATTGATATAATCTTTAATTTCAAATTGTATTATCCCCGAATACCCTGCAGATTTCTTAAGAGACATTGTTATAACCACTAATGGTAAAACACTTTATCATATGAAGTAAAGGCAATTACAGTTGAAAATGGGGAGGGACATCAGCTAGTCTCAAAAACAGTATCTTCTTGAATGCCAAAAGTTAGTTTTCAATTCTCTGCGATTTTTTTTTTTATTAGAGATTTTTGCTATAGGATGCATGTGCTCACCAGAGAGATAGAGACAGATAGAAAGTGAGAAATCACTCCCCAGGGGGATGATCATGCTACAATCCCCTCTATTCTCTCCAGGTCTTGGGCACACATGAACACATGCCCGGTGTGAGTTTTAAGTCACCAGGTCCAGGACTTAAACTGTAGTCGACTAGAGTCTCCTCACTTTTGTCTGATAAATCCTTTTTTTTTTTTTTTTTTTTGGGAGAGGTTTTTGCTATAGGGTGCGTGCACTCATCAGACAGAGAGAGAGACAGAGACATAGAAAGCAAGAAATCACCCCCTGGGGTGATGGTCAAACCGCAATCCTTTCTCCTCCATTCTCCTCTCGGGATCTTGGGCGCACACGCACCCGGCATGAGTTTTAAGCCACCGGGTCCGGGATGGGAACCGTGGTCGACTATGTGGGAGTCCAGCAACATAGCCATTACGCTAAATGCTGGTCCTGTTGTCTGATAAATCCTTTACGCTAATGATTTATGATGCTATACCTAGGGCCCCAGCCTCGTAGCAGTTTCACTGAGATTTAATTCATATATAATTCACCTATTTTAAATGTAGTTCAATGGCTTTTTGTGTATTCAGGATTGTGCAACTATGACCATTATCAATTTTAGAACATTTTCATCACCCCAAAAGGAAACCACATACCATTTACCTATAGTAGCCCAGTCTCCACCATCACCACCCACTCCAAATAATCATACCCCAAAAGGAAACCACATAACATTTACCTATAGTAGCCACGTCTCTCCACCATCACCACCCACTCCAAATAATCAACCACAAATCAACTCTGTGTCTCTACATTTGTCTCCGTTCTGGCATTTCATAGAAATGGAATCATGTGTGATCGTTGTGACTGGCTTCTTTCATTTTAGCATACTGTTTTCAAGGTTCACCTATGCTGCAGCATGTATCAATACTTCATACCTTATTGCTGAATAACATTTAATTGTACAAATATACCACATTTTGTTTATCATTTATTAGTTGGGGGCAGTTGGATGGTTGCCACTATTAGGTTATAATGAACAATGTTGTGCATGTTCATATATATATATATATTTAGGTGCATGCTATTGGGTATGTTTCTAGGAGTATAATTGCTATTTAAAATGCTACATATGTTTTAACTTTGAGGAATTGCCAGACTCGTTTTTAAAGGAGCTACACCATTTTACATTCCTACTAGTAGTATATATGGACTATAATTTCTCCACATCTTCATCAATATTTTTTTACTACCTGATTTTTTTATTATGAGAATTGTGGGTACAAAATGGTGTTTCATTGTGGTTTTGATTTGCCCTATTTCTTCAGTAAACCATCCAGTTGCCCAGAAACATTTAAATCCTTTTCTTAACACTGTCACTGAAAGGTCTGGTGGTTATCATCTTTCACTTAAATTAGTGTAACAACTATAGGAATATAACTGACTACTGTTTCTGTCCTCTTCTCATAATCCAGTCAGATAATTGCATTAGATATCAATTCTAATATATTGTAAAGTTTAAAGGCTTGACAGTGTGGAAAAGGAAAAACTACTGTGGGAACCAGCAGTTAACGTAATGGCTATGTCGCTGGACTCCCATGTAGTCGACCGCGGTTCGCGTCCCAGATCCGGTGGCTTAAAACTCACACCGGGTGCGTGTGTGTGCGTGCCCAAGATCCCGAGAGGAGAATGGAGTAGAAGGGATTGCAGCGTGACCATCCCCCCTGGGGGGTGATTTCTCGCTTTCTGTCTCTATGTCTCTGTCTGTCTGTCTGGCGAACGCATGCGCCCTATAGCAAAAAAACCTCTCCAAAAAGAAAAGAAAATGAAAAACCTACTGTGAAGCTAGCAATTGAGCAACCTGACAAATACCTAATGAAATGATCAAGATAAACATCAGCAATGATGTCATGCAGATATCATGTGCCTTTTAATGTGATGTGCTATGAAATGCACTTCACCTGTCTCAGCTTTTCTAAAACCTTAGCTCAGTCAGTCTATGAGAAAATATCAGACAAACCCAAATTAAGAGACATTCTACAAACTGATCAACATCCCTTAAAACTTTCAATGTCAAAAAATGAGGAAATACTGAGAAACTCAGAGCAAAGGAAACTAAGGAGACCATGAAAACTAAATGTGACGTGGGTTCCTAGATTAGTTCCCGGGGTGGGGGGGGGGGATATTAATAGGAAAACAACTGGTGAAATGTAAATAAAGATTTATAAATATTCATGTCTTTTAAGTTTATTTATTTATTCCATGTGAGACAGGAATCCCTATCAGGGTCTTCACACACATCTACCCCCAACCTTTCTGGCCAGGATTAGGAGGAACACACTCATTTGTACCCAGGGTGCACAAGACCTTGAGCTGCAAACCCAGGCCCTCACCATGTGGCTTCAGTGTCGTGGAGCATTACATTACTTTTGTGCCACCATAGCCTGCCCAATACTGGTTTCTTAGTTTTGACGAATTTACCATAATAAAAGGAGATAAACAGAAATATATATAAGAAATCTCTGTACTGTATTTGCAACTTTTCTGTAAATTTAGAATTACTTCAAAAGTAAAAAAACATTTGAAAAAAAAAAAAATCAACCTCCAGAAGGTCCCCACTGACTAGATCAGGTACATATTTCCAGCTAGCTAGCAGCTGAGGCCCTTCATGGTCTGAGTAAATTTCACTTTGACCTTGAATCCTGCTAGCTCCCTTTTTTTTTTTTTTTTTTTTTGGAAAGGTTTTTCCTATAGGGCGCGTGCACTCGCCAGACAGAGAGAGTGACATAGAGACAGAAAGTGAGAAATCCCCCCCCAGGGGGGATGGTCACGCTGCAATCCCTTCTCCATTCTCCTCTCGGGATCTTGGGCACGCACGCACACGCGCCCGGCGTGAGTTTTAAGCCACCTGGTCCGGGACGCGAACCGCGGTCGCCTACGTGGGAGTCCAGTGACATAGCCATTACTCTAACTTCTGGTTCCCCTGCTATCTCCCTTGAAGTCAACCTCTAGCATCCTGTCTGCAGCTCCTAGAGTACATTACATGCTTTTAGCACTGGGGGCCGTTGAACCTGCCATTTGCTCTGATCAGAACATCTCTTTCTGTGCCCAAATGAAAACACTCTCCAAGATTTTCCTAACCTAGGCAGAGTTAGTCATTTTGTGTTATATTCCTTTCTTCAGACTTACCACACTTGACTTGCTGATAACATTTTTTCTTTTTCATATTTAAATGCATATCTTGGTTTTTTTAAACATCAAAAAATAAATCAAAATCAGCAGGACCAGCAGATGCCATAATGATTTTGTCAATTGACTTCCATGTAGTCGAGCAGATCCGGCGACTTAAAAATTCGCTGGGCACATGTGCATGCATGTCCAAAATCACGAGAGAACGGAGGAGAAGGGATTGCAGTGTGACCATCTCTCCAAGGGAATAATTTCTCGCTTTCTG